TAGCTCCCGCCTGCCTCAGCTGCAGCAGCAGCAGCAGCATGCCAGCGTAGTATTTTTGCTTCGGATTCAATGTAGCAGCAGCACCGAAAGAAACAGCAGCAGCAGCAGCAGCTGCTGCTGCTGCTGCTGCAGGTGCTTGTCTTCGATAGGTCACGATGTGTCTTTCTTGTCGCAGCGGCTGCTGCTGCTGAAGCGAAAGCAGCAGCTGCTGCTGCAGCACGTAGATGCCAGCAGCAGCAGCAGCAGCAGCAGCAACAGCTAATAAGGATGGGCAGCATTAGCAGCAGCAGCAGCTGCTGCTGCTGACGTTGATGAAGACTAGCTACCCTTCCATGGCCCAGCTAGCCACACCACTGTATCGCAGAGACGCCAGCATCAGCAACAGCAGCAGCAGCTGCTGCTGCTGCTGTTGCTGCTGCTGCTGCTGCTGCTGCTTTATATTTGTCCGTGCACAGTCAGCAGCAGCAGCAGCACGTCTGTTGCTTCTATATTTGAGACTTTCCTGCGGTGTTCAAACACCTGAATCATTTGTGAGGTGCAACTTGACGGTGTCTTCCTAAACCCTAAACCCTAAACCCTAAACCCTAAACCCTAAACCCTAAACCCTAACATAGCGACAGCGCGAAACAAGACAAAAATAGAAGAGGCAGGGATACGATCTATTCCTTAAACTCTAAACCCTTGACCCTAGCGGGGTGAACCAAAGCCAGCAGAGGCCAGCGCTGCGGCTCTTGCTGCTGCTGCTGCTGCTGCGCTGCTGCGCTGCTGCTGCTGCTGCTGCCGCTACCTCACATCCTGCAGCACAGGCTCCGCGCCTGCTGCTGCTGCTGCTGCTGCTGCACCTTGCTGTGTCTGCGGAGTCGGACTGTCCTCTTCCTTTTGTGGGGCTCCCATAAGGCTGCTGCACGCTCGCAGCACTGCGGTGTACATACACCACAAACAGCAGCAGCAGCAGCAGCAGCAGCAGCGGCAACAACAGCAGGAAAACCTGGGCACTCTTAATGCGCACATAGTTTCTTTGCCAACCTATTCTGCTGCAGCTATGGGGTGTACGTACACTTCTGTGCTTCGGTGCAGCAGCCGTTGCAGCAGCTGCTGCTGCTGCTGCTGCTGCAGCGGCAGGTGGCGCCCGCCAGGTGCTGCTGCAGCAGATCATGTGCCTCCACCACAAGCAGCACATAGTCCTCATCGCTGCAGCAATATCCAAATCAAAAAACGCAGCAGCAGCAGCAGCAGCAAGTAAAGAAGCAGCAGCAGCCGCGCACGTGCTGCCAGCAGCTGCAGCAGAAGAAGCAGCAGCACCAGCGGCAGCAGCGAAGCGCGTGAACAGCGGTAAGTGCAACGCCAACAGCAGCAGCAGCAGCAACAGCAATAGCAACAGCAACAGCAACAGCAGCAGCAACAGCAGCAGCAGCAGCAGACCTTGTTGATGGGAGGACAGCTTTTCGCAGCAAACACCTCGCCAGCTGTATGTACACCAAGTGGCGGGCAAAGGCAAAGGGAGCTTCAGCAGCAGCAGCAGCAGCAGCAGGAGCCGCTGCTGCTGCAGCACCAACTGAAGCAGCAGCTGCAGCTCCAACTGCAGCAGCAGCTGCAGCACGAGCTAGGTGCACTGCTTCCTCTACTCTGCAGCAGTTCGTAGCAGCAGCAGCAGCAGCAGCAGCAGCAGCAGCAAATGCAGCACGCGCAGCAGCACCAAGAGACATCAGTGCAGCAGCGGATGAAACGTAAAGCATTCAAAGGACGCAGCAAAGCCTCAAAGCAGCAGCAGCAACAACAGCAGCAAAGCTGAGCTCTGCAGCAGCAGCAGCAGCAGCAGACCTATTGCTGTTCAGTAATGCTATGGAAAGCTCGTAACATGCGCGAGGGTCTCGGGGCCTTAGGGCGCTGCAGCAGCAGCAGCAACAGCAGCAGCAGCAGCAGCAGCAACAACAGCTGCAGCGCAAAGAGAGCATCTACGAAGTTGAAGCGGCAGCAAGCCATCTAGTGCAGCAGGCGCAGCAGCAGCAGGAAGACCAACAGCACAATGGCAGCCACACAGTAGCAACAGCAGCAGCAGCAGCAGCAGCTGACATAGCAGCAGCAGCAGCAGCAGCAGCCGAAGCAACAGCAGCAGCAGCAGAAGCTGACTGTGCATTGTACAGACACTCCAGCGCTCTCTGGGAGGAGGCGCGGGGATCGGTTTCCAACGCAAAAAGAATCAGCGGCAGCGGATCCCTGCAGCAGCAGCAGCAGCAGCAGCAGCAGCAGCAACAGCAGCAGCAGCTGTCTTTACCACTGCTGCTGTATCTCTCTTTTCCTGCATTTGCTTCTATTTATTTCTCGCTTTTCGCCTGCTGCAAGCCCCCAGCAGCAGCAACAGCAGCAGCAGCAGCAGCAGCAACAGCAGCAGCAGCAGCAGCAGCAAACGCGCAAGGCCCTCACCCCGGGAGCGCCCTTGACGCCTCTTTGTAGGCAGCAGCAGCTTGCTGCTGCTGCTGATGTGCAGCAGCAGCAGCAGCAGCAGCACTCAAGCAGTGGCCCAAGCCCACGAGGCAGGGCCTCCAAGACAACGAAGAAAGGGGGCCCCACGCGCTGCTGCTGATGCTGCGTCTGAGCCCCCAACGCAGCAAACCCTAAACCCTAAACCCTAAACCCTAAACCCTAAACCCTAAACCCTAAACCCTAAACCCTAAACACCTAAACCCTAAACCCTAAACCCTAAACCCTAAACCCTAAACCCTAAACCCTAAACCCTAAACCCTAAATCTGAGCCCTGACTCCTCACCTGAAGCAGGCAATGGCCTCTGTGTGCTGCGACAGCATCATCAGAAACACTCCTTCCTACAAAACGCCCACAATCAGCAAGAGGCGCTGCAGCAGCAGCAGCAGCAGCTACAGCAGCAGCAGCAGCAGCTACAGCAGCAGCAGCAGCAGCTACAGCAGCAGCAGCAGCAACAACAACAGCAGCAGCAGCTCGTACCGCGTAGAAACGCAAATCTTCTGCTTCTGGGTAACGCCGCAGGCGCTGCAGCAAGCCGAGTAAATCTGCTGCCTTCCCTGTGCATCCGAGCAGCAGCAGCAGCAGCAACAGCAGCAGCAGCAAATACTGCAGGAGCAGCAGCAGCGACAGCAGCAGCAGCAGCAACTGCAGCAGCAGCGGCAACTGCAGCAGCAACAGCAGCTAAAATACCCAGCTGTATACAGCAGCTGATGAACACGGGGGCGGCATAGAGTCCATCGCTTAGCACTTCTAACGCCCTGCAACCACAAAACCTAAACCCTAAACCCTAAACTCTAAACCCTAAACCCTAAATTGTTGTTTTTGAAGCCTCAACGTCAAGCCAATCAGCTGCAGCTTTCCACCTTGCACTGCTAACCCTAAACCCTAAACCCTAAACCCGAAATACTAATCCTAAACCCTCACTTATGAAGCGCAAGCCCTAAACCCTAAACCCTAAACCCTAAACCCTAAACCCTTACAGGCGAGCAACCTCAAATGCGAGGGGAATGTTTCGCTCCGCATGCAGCACAATCGCCTGCAGGCTCAAACTGACACTGCAGCAGCAGCAGCAGCAGCAGCAACAGCAGTCAGAAGCAGCAGCAGCAGCAGCAACAGCAGTCAGAAGCAGCAGCAGCAAGCAGCAGCAGCAGCAACAAGCGCCAAATGCTGCCAAGGCGTGGCTGCGAGTGAACGAGGGTTTACGCCTTGATGATTTAGGGTTTACAATTCAACAAATTAGGGTTTAGGGTTTAGGAAGTAAGGGTTTAGGGTTTAGGAAAATAGGGTTTAGTGTTTAGCGAGCTTGGGTTTAGGGTTTAGGAAAGCAGGGTTTAGGGTTTAGCGAGTTAGGGTTTAGGGTTTAGAAAGGTAGGGTTTAGGGTTTAGCAAACTAGGGTTTAGGGTTACTGTGAGAATCTGCAGAGGGGAGGCAGCAGGCTCGTTGGGTAGCGAGAAGCAACAGCAGCAAGAGCTGGGCTGAGCAACTGCTCTTGCTGCTGCTGCTGCTGCTGCTGCTGGCTTTGCTGCTGCTGCTGCAGTTGCTGCACCTGCTGCTCAAATTCCGCGTCAAGCAGCGTGTCTTTGCTTTGCTGCTGCATTGCATCTTCTTGCTGCTGCCGCTGCTGCTTCTGCTTTTGCTGCCGCACAAGATCTAAGAACTCCATTGGGGTCTGCAGCAGCAGCAGCAGCAGCAGCAGCAGCAGCAACAGCAGCAGCAGCACACGACCCGCCAAAGGCGTTCAAAGTGCGCACGAAAGTCCCTCCTGCTACTGCTGCTTCTCGTGCCAATCTTGCTTCTGCTGTTGCTGCTGTTGCTGCTGCTGCTGCTGTTGCTGCTGCTGCTGCTGCTATTGCTGCTGCTGCTGCTGCTGCTGCTGCTTAAAAACATACCATCCCAGCAGCAGCAGACGACAGCGCGACAGCTATGTGTCTGCAAACACCAAACCCAAGAGACCGAGAAACAGCAGCTGCAATTGCTGATGCTGCTGCTGCTGTTGCTGCTGCTGCTACTAAAACTGCTGCTGCTGCTGCTGCTGTTGTTGCTGCTGCTGCTGCTGCTGTAGCGTGTGCTTACAGGGCCCAGCTGCAGCAGCCGAAGTGAGCAGCAGCAAGAAGTGCTGCTTCTTGCTGGCAGTTCAGTACTCCAGACCCAAACAGCAGAAACAGCAGCTGCAGCAAACCACAAACCCTAAACCCTAAACCCTAGACCTCAAGCTCTAGACCCTAAACCCTACCTCAAAACCCCGCGCCACAGCCCCGCGAAAAGCATCAGCGTTGCTGCTGCTGCTGCTGCTGCTGCTGCAGCCAAATATTTAGACATAGGCGAGCGACAGGCAATAAGGGCTGACGCCCTAGCGTTTAGGGTTTAGGGTTTAGGGTTTAGGGTTTAGGGTTTAGGGTTTGGAGCCTGCCTTGGGCCTCAGAGGGTTTAACAGAAAAGCAGCTTGCAGCTCTTCAAGGGCCTCTTCAGCAAGCCCCAAACGATCCAGTGTGTCCCCCAGCTTCACCTAAAGCAGCA